GAAGTCTCTATTTCATGGATTTGAAAGGGGGGGGGGGGGGGGGATTTGGGGCCCTCGTTTTTTTTTTTTTGGCTCTGAGAAATCCAACTTGAAATGTGAAATTCAGATATCGTGGTGGATCTGACAGGAACACTTCCTCTTCTGTCGGGTGGGCTGTCCGAGGCATCATGAGATACACGGTGATGAATGTATCCCCGTATCCGTTACTTGTTCATCCTCATGGCTGTGTTCGTGGACACATTTGATTGCCACGGTACATCACTATGCAGACTGACATGAAGGAGATCGTACCAACCAATGAATTGGGGTGCAACGGATGTAGGAGGCACCAAAGCACTCATGACTGACACACATGTGCTCGCAGCACCCCGTGAATACAGGCGACAAAAAGAAAACAAAAAGAGAAAAACTAATATTCGGTGCCCTTTTTAAATGGAAGAAATCATTTAAACAATTGCAGAAAATACCGAAAATGGTGTCACACCTCGTGATTTACTTCGCTAGTGGGTCAAGGCCCCAGGGACACATCCAAAGACACATCCAAATTCCTTACCAAATTTAAAATAAAAAAATGAAATGAAAAAATTATATATATATATCGTCATATATATCGTCATTCCTGATGAGTCGGTGAAACTCCGACGAAACAGTTTGTCACAGCCCCTCGTTTGTTGTCCTCTTCTCCCTCTCTGCCTACAGTTTACCGTAGGCAGCTCTGTTTGACGATATATATATCGTCATATATATATATATATCGTCTATATATATATTTGCCCAGCCGGGCAATTGGTCCCAGGCCAGTCTGGTAGCCTTTTTTTTTTTTTTTTTTTTTTTGCGCAAAAGTCTTATGTTCTCCTTATTACAACAGAAATCTGTAAATTGCCTCCAGCCCCCCCCCTTGCAACGAATCACACATTCAACAGCAGCATCACCCTGCAATCAATTTCGTTCTGACTTCTAACCACTTCATTATTTCAGCCCTTCAGTCTAACCACCTTCACGATATGAAAGAACTGATCCATGGTTCCGGCACCTACTTCGTTCCAACCGGCTGCTAACTTCCAATTCGTGGTCCATAATTTCAGGAACCCTGTCCTTCTTCTTCTTCTTCTTCTTCTTCTTCTTTTTTTTATCTTTTTTTTTTTTAAGGGGCCCTTGTCATGCTTCTTTCTTCCCCCCCCTTCTAGCTGTTCCTTCTTTTAAATCTGACAGGATCATTCTCATGAGTTCATCTCTCGTTTCTCTGTGGCATAGTCCAGAGGTCCCTTATTTCCAAAGATTACCCTGTTCCCGTCTCCAAATCACTCCCCGAGATACCCATCCTGCATGTGCCGCCTGTGTAAGCATACGAATTTATGCCATGCATATGGGCGGTTAGGACGAGTAGCCGTGCTGCGAACCACAATATCATACCCTCATCTTTTTCTCAATCCTACTTTTGCCCACCCGTGCCTTCCGTCACGCAGCCGTAATAAACAAGTGGTAGATCCGAATCCTGACGGAACCACACGGGTATAATATCCCTATAGGGCTCTGTCTCCTTCATGTTTGGCCCACCGATCTCAGGTTCCTTTGGAGCCCAGGCACACGTAACATTCAGCTGTTTGGAGACAGGGCAATCATAACATACGGATTGCCAGTTGGCAGTTAAAAAAAAAAAAAAAAAAAAAAAGAAGTGTGTGCCACTTGCATCTTGGCTCTGTGTGTCACTTACATCTCCTTGCAGGTGGCACAAATTTTCATGCCTTCTGAGTTTATCCACTGAAAGTAAGTGATTTCGTTCAATTCGCGATATCTGTAAGTGGTTTTCATTTGATGAAAAAAAAAAAAAAAAAAAAAAAAAAAATTTTTTTTTTTTTTTTTTTTTTTTTTTTTTTTTTTTTCCTTTTTGTTTTTGGTGTGAAGGGTGTGTATAGATCTCGTCAAACAACCGACTATATTTCCCAACTGTCCTCCGACNGTATAGATCTCGTCAAACAACCGACTATATTTCCCAACTGTCCTCCGACGCAGCTGGCATGCACACACTGCAACTTCCTGGGGTTCCGTTGCCGGAGCAAAATGGCTGTCGGACCCAGCCAGAAGGAGCCCCATGCCGGTTCTTTTGTTTTGGGGGGACAACAGCGCGCTTCCAACCTTTTGGAGGCCACTTTTTTTTAATAAAAAAAGTCCTTTTATTTTTTTGGGGGGGGCACACAGGGAGGTCCAACGTTTCAAGCCCCGGAAAAAAGTGGGCGGAAGTACTGGCGGTTTAGGGTCTGATCCCACACTACATACGGTATGTGGTTGTATGGATTTTTGGAGATCCCACAGTGCTCCGGGGTAGTAGGTGGCACCGTCGACTTCGGAGGTGAGTGAAAACGTTTGTTGTCGTGGCGGTCTGGGAGTGAGCGGTGGCGAAAAAGTAGTGCGGAAATGTGAGGAGTGCTGGACCCCTACCCGTCCACGAAAAAGCTGGAGCAGCTTTTTGTTGTTGTTTTTTTGTTTTTTTTCCCGTCACTCCCTCCTTCCCTCCGTTGATCCGCCACCCTCCCACATTATTGCGCCGCGATGCCTGTAAAAGGGCCATTCTTTTCGGAGTTGTGGGATGCAATTTTCCTTTCACGGTCCATCCGGAGCGGGCCCAGCTTTTTCGTTACTTTTACGGATTCCGTTTCCGTATGTAGTGTGGGATCAGACCCTTAGTTACCTTCCTCTTTTTCAGCGATTGTGTGCCCAAAAAAAGGAACCGTAAAGAAAACGAGACACATGCATGCTGGCCTCACCCTGTCTGCGTTTTCTCGGTAGCGGGAAACCCCTCTAGATTAAAAAAAAAACTCTTGAAAAAAAAAAAACCTCTTGAAAACAGTTATCAGCTAGTGCACCGGGCAGGATACACTGGAGTGCCGTTTTGCCCCGAAGGGCCGAAATGCATCCAGGCAAGGCGGGTTGCATGCGAGGCCCGAGGCGGGTCGCCGATGGTACCTCCTTCACCTGCCAGGTGCACCGCGCTTTCTATTTTTATTTTTATTTTTTTATATTTTTTTCCTTTATTCTTTTTTTCTCTTCTTTTCTTTGTTTTAACAACCAGAACCAGATTAAGAAATGGGCATCCGTGCGCAGCAGCAACAACCACCACCAGCATTGTGTTCTCCTTTTGCATGCAGTGCCATACTGTACGAAGTACTACGAACAGACTTTCGCCAACTCATCAGAAGGCTGAACCTGGACGGACAGTCTGCCCAGGATGCATTTGACTGACAGATAAGGACTCGCCACGTCACCCTGAGTTAGTGATACCCACCCTTCAGAGAGAAAAGCGGTGGAAATTTTACTCGCACCAACCCTACGATTTTACTGGGGGGTGTCTTCCCCCCCCCCTAAATGAACAATCCCCCCCCCCCAAATAGAACAAACTGTCAGTACGCCTGTATTGGGGGCAGCTTTACGTATGCATAACACCAATAATTGAATAATGACCGTACGTTGTATATTCGGGGGGGAACACGGTCGCAAACTGTTTAATCCAGATCCAGCCCCCTCATAAGAATGGCGGCCAGTCTGAGAAACTGGTCTGCCACGACCGTAAAACCCACTCGACACAACCTTTCTGTCCCTCCTCTACGTTCTATATTCGGGGGAAGACGGTCGCAAACTGTTTAATCCAGGCCCCTGACAAGAATGGCGGCCAGTCTGAGAAACTGGTCTGCCACGACCGTAAAACCCACTCGACA